TTGAAGGAAACATTTTGATCTTTTCTTCTTCACGTGTTTATGAACAATTTTTCATCCACTATCTTTAGATAACTCCTAGAACTCAATCATACAAAACTGATCACCTCTGAGCCATCTTAATGTAAAAAGATGCTGTTAATTGTTTATCTTTAAGATTAAAATGTGTTAATTTTAATGTATGTAATTTTTTTAACGGATATTTAAATAAAAATTCTAATGAATAAAATTTATCATTAGCTGATATAACAAATTCTTCTAAATAATGATGCCGAGTAATTCGGTGCAATATCTGCTAATTTCATGTATGGGTCTTTCATCTATACATGACTTTAGCTAAAGTGACAAAAGTCATCTATAAACTACTGCGGACTCCATGGAATCAGCTTGATATAGTGTTTCGGCATATTTAGAATATATACTCTGTGGCAATTAAGAGCGCAAAATGATAGAATTTAATCATTTATTCAACTTTTTCAACTACATATTATAAAATCGAAAAAAATTTTGAATGCTGTTTTGTTTTCTCAAACTAGTTTTTCATCTCACACGCGAATATCTTTAAACAATAGGTTTCCTTGAATATTCTGTAACATCGATAACATTGTGCACAATTAGATTCATCGCAAAAAACTCTTTCTTCTCTTGTTTATTGAAATTCTGTTCTTTTCCTAATTTTATTTTTCATTTGAATTTGAAGTGTATACATCGTTACATGAGAATTTTTGTTTCTTTTAATAATTATGAAATAAAGGTAGATGATCATATCAATAAAGATCAATTCTCGTTGATACGATTCGTATATACATTCAAAAAAGAACCTTAATACTTCTTCTAGACTTCTACCAGAGAAGATGGCCTCGAATAAGAAGACCAGCAAAAAGATTATTTAGAAATAATATTTTAACTAGTTTGATACGTGCTCAGAATTAATGTGTTTTGATGATTATTCTTTACTGTGAATAAAAGAAAAAGAATGATTTTGTTACATCATGTTGAACACACTCTTTTTGTATTAAAGCTTTTATTCATTCTTTGCATCGCATCGTCGATTTCCTACGGTATAGTGTCAAGAATGAGCGACATTCTTTTTTTCAAGAATTTTTCTATTATTAAATAGAATTCTTTTCTTTTATGGATGATAATGAGAGAAAGACAAGAAATGAACAATTGGTCATCGTCTAAGTAAATGCAATGAAAATTTATAATTTAAAATTGCTCACATTGATAGAATATACGATGCCATATGATAAAAATTATTTTGTATAAAAAGAAACGAAAGAAAGTGACATGTCAAAAATGGAAATAAAAAAGATTAAACAATGGTCTCATGCATTACGCTCCCTTGCTATGGACATTAGGGTAAGCAGTTCTGTTTTGCATCATATATACGAATCGTCTTATCTTTCTTCTAGAGAAAATAGTTTTTTTTTTCCGTAATAATGTTCGTTTTTCTGTTATTAACTAGATTTATACACGCATACATACATACACAGAAATAAGTTCCGAATTGAATACAGTTTACTAATTCCGCTTTATTAAAGACAGAAGAAACGATTTTTCTTAAATATTTTCCTTCCGGGCAAATTTTTTCATTTAAGCGGTTTACACACAGTTAATAATAAACATTTCAATAGTGTCGATTAAATCGTAGCGAGTAAATTGAATATGATTTTCGAATATTTATCGAAAAAATATTTAACGAGATTTACTTGATGTGAATTTGAAATCTTTGACTCAATTAACGAATTTTTCTTTTTACAAATAGTTTATGTTAATTTATTCGCAATAAAAATAAGATTATTCAACTTAGAACTTGTTTTTATTAATTTTTTTTATTAGAACATTAAAATTGTAACAAAACTCATTTCAAAATCCAAGTTCTGTCTCGAATTTTTTTCCACTGATAAGCAACTCGTCAAATTTGATTAAGGCGACAGACCCATCTTTTCCTATTATGAGTTCCGATCAAATAAACACAATTCTAAGCAAATCATAAAGTTAATTTTCATTTAAACCTACAGACATATATCTATACATGTATACTCTCTAATATTTACTTATAAACTCAACAACTCTTTTCCCTCCTATCTCTGTTGTATTGCATCATTATTCATTATTGTTGAAAATGACCAACTTCATAATAACATTGTCTTTCTGTCGTTATCGCTCAAATCATTCATCTTAAAATTTATACTATCTATGCCAAAAATAATAATAATTCTTTCTCTATTACATCATAATAAGGTCTGTTTTAAGAAGAAGAAGAAAAAACTCATCTTATACTCTTTTGTTATCATTATTGCAGGACTATCGATAGAATTATCATAATTTCTCGGTGGAATTTTGACACTATAAGTTAATTGTCATACATACACACGCAGCTTGCTCTCTTGATTGTACGATAAATGAATGAACTATAGGAAACAACACACTTGTCATTGGTTGTCTATATCATTTTCGTAATGAAATAAATCAGCAACGCGTATGTTTAAGAGGTAATCATTAGATTATTGCCTCAATCGTTCATGCCGTTAGCCATTTTTATTACTGTAAAATATTCTTTCTCTCTTTCTCTCTCTCTCTCTCTCTTTTCTTCTGCTCATTCTCATAGTTAGAACGTGTATATTTTTCTCTTATTTTTTCATTCGAACACATGTTCATTTATACTCTCGAGAGATAAGACATGCCTTAATACAATGAATATTCTTTGTCTCAAATTTCATATAGTATTAATTACGTTTTTCTTTGTTATTTACTGAAAGAGATAGTATAATTTTTCTCATTTATATTAAAAAACAACAACATACTGGATGATCTTCAAATTCTAAGATAATAAGGTAAAAACATTGTATTTAATTTTTAATAGATTTTAATGTATGAACAGTATAGACAGAAGAAAAGAGAATCATAGTATTACACTGATTTCTTTCTTTCATCTCTAAATGCACATACTATATTAAATAAACATTAATATAGACAAACGTTTGTTTTTATAAAAATTTACATGGAATATATATATATATATATATAGAGTTGTTCATTTTTCTTTACCCTCCTTTTGAATAACAAATCTAGTAAACGTATACATACTGTTTCAGAAATTGGTTCAATTTCAATTATTAACTGTTGAAAGAAAAGATATCGTCTATTTGTAGAGTAATATCATTCGATTTCATATTCGTAAGTTACAATGTGACAATTTTATTTATCATCATCTTTTTCTCTTCATTTATTTTTCTTCTAGATGATATCGTAACAAAAAATGAAATCAAAACAATTTTGTATTTATAGTGTCTTTATTTCCATAGTATCTCTAATTGTCACAGTTATATGTTGTCCATTACCAGATAATTATTTTAAATTATGTCATTGTGGTATACTAATTAGTGGTGTTAATTATATTGAATGTGATCGTGAATCATTACATATTATACCACCATTTAAACGTTCATTTCCCTATGATGAATTAATACTTAGTCATAATTTAATTGAAAATTTAACTCGTACTTCATTTGATAATATTAAAGGTATTCGACGTATTTATTTAGATAATAATCCAATACAATTTATTGATAATGATGTATTACGTTTATTAGGAAATTATTTAGAAGAATTTGTTATATCAGCTAATGATAAATTTCATTCATTAGAATTTTTATTTAAATATCCGTTAAAAAAATTACATACATTAAAATTAACACATTTTAATCTTAAAGATAAACAATTAACATCATCATTATTTAGTAATATGACACGATTAGAAATATTACATATTCAATATTGTCAATTAAAAACAATTGATTTTTCACAATATATATTAAATAATTTACATACATTAGATTTACAAGGTAATCAATTGTTCTACTTAAATTTAAAATCAATTATATCATTGAAAAATTTAAATTTGGCAAATAATAATATTGAAATAGTGAACGGTAAGTTAACAATATGTTATATCAATTTTTAATTAAAAAATAAATTTTCTTCTCATTTTCTCGTGTATACGTCTAATATTTGTATTTTATTTAGATGTTAATATAAATTTAGTAGATATAATACCAACAAATTTAATTTACTTAAATTTAAGTTCAAATCATATTACAAATTTTAATTTTTTTCATAAATTAAAAACATTAGAAATTTTATCATTAAATAATAATTCATTGAAACAATTACCCGATGAATTTCAATTACCATTAACATTAAAATCATTTGATCTTAGTTTAAATCAATTAAAAATAATAAAAATTTCAACACAAAAATTTTTTAAACAATTAACAAATTTAAATCTTCAACAAAATCCTCTTGAATGTAATTGTCATTTACAATGGTTATACAAATTTATTATGGAACAAGAACAACAGACGAATTATACAAATGAAAATGATGACTATTTAATCAAATCGACTTTTAATAATAATAATAATAATAATTCATTCTATATCAGTGCATCGAAATGGATGTGTTCAAATAATAAAAAATTTTTATCATCTAATTTTCAATGTATATTAAGTCCAAAATTAATATCATTTAATTTAACTTATATTAAAGCTATCGTACTTTCAAAACCAACAGATGGTCTACTTCTACAATGGCAAATGAATGATCTTACCTTTGTAAATTATTATCAAGTTAGTTATGAAATAGATCATTCTCAACAATTACCATTGGTCGTATCCAATCGTTTATCAATAAATATTAGTCAATTATTCATTACTAATATTCTTCAATATAAACGTTATCATGTATGTTTAATTATTTACCATAAATTTGCAAAAGATAAGTATTGTCGTGATATTTTAACTATTAACATAATTAAATATTCATTTCAAGTTATATCACCGAATGAATTATTAAAAAACGCAGACATTCTTCTTCTTACTACAACAACATTGTCTATCGATCAAAAGACTAGTAATCCAATAGCACAAATTATGCTTATCGGTTCATGTGTTGGTGTATTTCTTACACTTATACTCTTGTTTACATGTATTTATTTATGTTGTAAAATAAATCGTTTTAATCGTAAACATTCAAAATCTATTCATCAAGGAATCTATCATCCACCAACGTCACAATGTGCTGCTGTTACATTTACATGTTGTGAACATCATGATAAACATAAATCCTATTGTTCAACCGGTCAATTATTCAATTTTCAACATGGTTTATCACCATTACCACCACCACCTTATCCAACTTCAACCTCTTATCATCATCATCATCATCATCCAATTCATGTATGTCAACATTACAATACGTTAGAAAAAACGTCAAATTCAACGGACAGTAGTCATTTAGACGATTCACTACATAGTACTAAACATCAACAACATATATATCAAGAGATAGCGAACAATAATACTTTCGATAGTAATGAACGTGAAACATTTGACTTATGGAATATGTCGATATCAACGGCAACAGATACAACAACCACAAATTTAACAAATTCGTCCAGTAATGATGATCACATCATACCACACACAACAAGACAATCTTTAAGACATATAAGATGAAAGTTTTTCTCGTTTTTCTTAATTTATTTTTATACTTTCTAAAATAAATAAAACTGACACTTTCATAGTCCACTAGTGGAAAGCCTGTAAACGAAAGACTTGCTTACATTAGTTTATTATCAATAGGGGATAATGAAATAGTATACAAAAATAGTTTTTCTTGCTCATACACAAAAATCACTAAATAGAATAGTTCAAATAACTTTTAATTTATTTCCAAACACTTTTCTTATTTAGTTTTATCGTTAATTTATGCTTTAGTACACGAGTTTTACTGTATAAATAGTTATTGCCAATGTCAAAAATGAACATACCATTGATTTTGTCTTAAGGTGACACTAGCAAATAATAGTCACTGTCTGATTCTTTTTTATGTAAATTTTATAACATCATTAAGTCAATTTTACTATAAACAAAAAACAGAGAGACATTTATCTTGACAATGTCGATTTTTATGATTATTCTGAAATGATAATGACATTTTTTTCTTATTTTTACTCTAAAAAACAATAGATTTCGATTAAGATTTCTTCTTCTTTTTTGTTCTGGTCAACGTATGTATATTTTTAAAAAGATGAAAACTGACTGAATATGCATAAATGCCCATAAATAAAAGAAGAACAAAAGTCACAAAATCAGTGACATGTAGCCAAGAAATTCAATTTGTCATATTAATGTTTAGAAACGCATCACTGGGTATATAATAAGTGCTCATAAAGGATATAAGACATATCTGCCATGTGTCACCGTACAGTGATATACTCTGTTAGATGAGGTCTTTTTTTCCGTATTTTTGAAATCAGTTTACTCTTCCTTCTCTCGTCATATGGGAATGGAAGCCAAAAATAAAAAAAGGTAAATACTTGATTGAAGTGCAAAAACATGTCTGTACTATATTTTCTATTTGACATCACAGCAAGTAATCTTTTAGATCCAGTTCTCTCTCTTTTATAATCGAAGACGACTTTTTTTGTTGGATGTTGAAGTATTTAGATAGGAAAAATGCAGACAATGACCATTTGGCAGCTTGAGACGCGGCCGTATAATTGATACATTCATAAATATAGACAAACAGAAGAGAAAAAAAGAGAGAGAATATGCTTCAATATAAACATATGAAATCTCAAAGCATCAAATAATGTTTTTCAATTGTAATAATATGTATTTATACACCGAAAATAGTTTCAACTTTAAAAAATATGTATTTATACACCGAAAATAGTTTCAACTTTAAAAAATATGTATTTATACACCGAAAATAGTTTCAACTTTAAAATTTGTTCCTATTTGTTTAAGTATGGGATAAAAAAACAATACTGTATCATATGCTTAATTTTCCCTTGACTTTAGTCTAGGGTCTTACAAACTGGTTGTCTGTGCGTGTGTGTGTGAGCGCAAAATACGGAAAAATGGGTGCTAGATATTCTATGAATAAGCGAATCACAAGAGAGAGAAGTAGAAAATTATTTTTTACAGAAGGAAGAAAATATTCAAAGAGATGATCTGAAATATCTACCGCTGCAGAGAGACAAAAAGCTAAGCAAACGTTTTCTGTAGGCTCGGGATAGATGTCGCCCGATAGCA